GATGATTTCTCACGCGTAAAATACTTTCACTCGTGGCCATCTTATTTGGCAATGGGGTGATTTCTCACGCGTAAAACCCTTTCACTCGTGGTCATCTTATTTACCGAAAAAGCTTTCGCCCCGTTTTATAAATAAAGCAAACCGCCAGAGAGCACACATATAAGGACTAGTCCACACACACACCCAAGTCTCACAACAAAGAACAAAGGTTCTGCCGAGGGCACAGCTCAACAAGCCCAGGAATAAAAAACAAGAAAACAACCGGAGCGGAGAACGTCTAGCCTGGTTCCGGCGGAGGCGGCGGCGGCGACAGACGGACGGCCATCGAGCGGAGGTCGGCGATGACGTCAACACTTGGGTGTACCATCTTATTTACCTTTTAGGCCGTGCCAATATCTGATGTCGTCTTGAAGGATTCATGAGTTCGATGCGTGTCCCGGTCTGTGACCGTTTTGTTGCTAAATTCAGTAAACCAGTATTGGTGTCACATCTCACATGCCATCGCAGCCATCATGCATTCGTGCTATTGACCAGTGCTACATACTTTACTTCAAAAGTCAAACATGTCTGTGTTTGATCAAGTTTACGCAATCAGCCATCGATATCTAAAATACTCCCTCTGTAAACTAATATAAGAGCCTTTAGATCACTAATTTAGTAATCTAAACGCTCTTATATTAGTTTACGGAGGGAGTAGTAAATAAATGAAATACAACTTTATGATGAATCTAATGATATTAATTATGTATATTGTGGGTGTTCATATTTTTTATATAAAATTCATCAAAAATAGACATGTTTTACTTTAAAAATATATATACACTAGATTTTGGAACATTTTGAAACGGAGAGAGTACATTCATTAAGATGAACTCACTGAAACAAAGAGATCACATAGGAAGAGGAAGGACCAAGGAACTACTAGACAACAAACATATGCACATGCACATGCACATGCACATATATTGTTTCAAACGAAAAATGTTTCCAGAAAAAAGAAGGTATCTGAAGGAGTAACTTCTTTACGATGTCTTTTTTACTTTGCAAACGAGAAAATTATACATGCAGTATGCAAGCTCGACTTCACTAACACTGTAACTGTCCAGTGACATGGCGATGAAACAATCAGCATGAGACGACGACATTTCCAAACTATACTATACATTTGACACTAGAAGTTTTGCCAATAACAATCCAATACAATGAACCTAACAGTAGGAAAAAAAAATTCTAGCACGTTAAGAAAGTACCAGTATGACCCCTAAACAAGCCTTCAGAGAGAAAACAGTTATGTGCTGCAGTAACAGGAAGACAACGGCAAGTCTGAATCCGTTGACGATTAAGGTTTTTTTCAAGAATAAGTGCTTCACTATCCAGATGGCCGACGCTCCTTCAACCGCCCAGAGGATTGTCGGCGGCCACTCCCGGGAGATGATCTGGCCTGCTTTTGAATCTGCATTAACGGTAGAGATTCGCGTCGCCTTGGGGCAGCCCGCCTGACCCACCAGAGGTACAAGATGAAGATCAACAGAATGATGAAGAGAGCTGCAAACAAGATAAAAAGGATCTTGCTGCCATGTGAATTTGACGGAGGCCTCTCCATGACGGTCTCCTTACGAGGAGGGGCAATCTCTTTTCGTGAACAAGCTGAGTGGAAAAAGAAAACAAAAGTTATAATTCTTTGCAAATGTATAATAGAGCTTCCTATTCAATCTTTCTACTGATTTGTCTTGAGCAAATTGCATGACAAAAACACCACACCTTTGCCGCATACCATGACAGGAAACGACCATTTTGCAACAACAGCTCTGTCCTTTCCATGGCAAGAGATATATGTTGCTGCCAATTCAGGATAATAAAGCTTTGCCCTCATGAAACGGCATAAACAACACTTTCCATCCTCACCGCTAGCCGGCAACTCATCGATTGCATGTATCAGTGCTTTGCAGCATGAGACTGAGGGTGACTTCCATGACTTGTCCGGTTGCATGCATGAGAGGACTGCAAGACTGATCATGTCATATCGACAAGTGCCCTCACTAAAACTTGTATCATGTCTGATGGAATGCACCCCAGTCGATAATAGAAGGATGGCAAGCAAAAAGACCAGCAACGGGTACATAGTACAAACTGTCAAAAAAGAGGAAAAAACTTATCATGCTAAAAAGAAGCGGTAGGTAATCATAGTAGTAATAAACAGTACACAATTAAAGGCCGACAGAGAAAGATGCATCATCAATTCATCATTGTCTTATGCAATCTATGACTCGCTATCTGGCACAATGATTACAGCATGAAGAAGCCTGGTACAATTAAGTAAATGCAGTCAAGATTAACTACAAAACATGAAACTAAACGCCAACCCTGTAATGTAGGATGGATTCATACAAAAGGTAGCCAGATATAACAGCAAACCTCCTCAAGTTAAATATATTGTACTCCTCCGTTCCAAAATTATTGTCATGGTTTTAGTTCAAGTCTGAACTAAAATCATGACAATAATTTTGGAACAGAGGGAGTACTTGAAAAGCACAAAGAGAAAAAGAAGTACTGTACCTCTCAGTAGTTCCATAATTGCTTTCATGGTTTGGCCTGCAGCTAGTGGAACATCTAACCCTGCATTACCAATCTAAAAATGTAGCTAGCTGTCAATTGCTCAATTATGATCTAGTATACAAAACGACTAAAGTGATGTCATTGGAATATAGAACTAGAATAGCTCAACTTCGCAAAAGAAGAAGCATATCCCATACATAGTTTTACATGCTCAAGACATGTCAATCTCAACATACTTTACAGCATTGCGCACGGAAATACATGACCCCACCACCGCAGTTCCCAATCTGTATGTTAGGTGGTCTATCATTTAAATTAGCAAGATACCCTTTAGCTTGGGCCTTGAGCCAATTAGGGATGAGATCTATGAATTGTTAGGCCTCTATATAAAAAGAGTAAAATGCATAAAACTACCACTTTACAAAACGTGACACTTTGCACCGCACCGAAAATTTGGCGGTGGCAAAAAACACTAAACCAAAATTTGATCTCGTTCTGACGTGTCCGATCGCGCGCGGGCCGACAACGGTGACGGCGCGCCACTAACGGCCGTTAACTGCTGTCTGAAGCGACTGGGCCGGCCCTCACTCCCACCCTTCTCTCCCTCTCCTTTTTCTCGCGGGCATGGCAGCGGTGGCGGCTCCGGGTCCATCGGCGAAGGAGTGGTGGGGACAAGGCGGTGAACAGAGCTAGTTAACTTGGCTGGACGGCGTGGCAGGGGGGACCCACAACGGGGGGAAGATTGTGCTACAATCAAATTGGCCAGATTTTGGAGCAAAATTCGTTGATTTGTAGTCAAATGGTGTTGGTCGAGCTCTAGGTGAGCTGCCTCCCTCTCTCTATTAGCAAACCACTACATGTGTGCTTGTGTTCCAGATTTGGAAACTAGGGTTTGGTTTGGTGGAATTTGAGCAATTTTTTTTGTTAACTGAATCTTATTGTGACTTGAATGCAGTTAACTATATCTTCTTTTTCTGACTGAATCTAGTTGTGAAATGAACATAGTTAACTGAACCTAGTTGTTAACTGAATCTTGTTAACTGAACCTAGTTCCAAAACTGAACCTATTTGTTAACTGAACCTAGTTGTTTACTCAACCTAGTTGTTCACTGAACTTAGTTAACTGAATCTTACTGTTTGTCACTGAACAAATAGGTTCAGTTAACAAATAGGTTCAGCTAACTAATTTCAATTAACAACTATGTTCAGTTAACTATGTTCATTTCACAACTAGAATCAGTCAGAAACAACAAGATATAGTTAACTGCATTCAGTTCACAATAAGATCCAGTTAACAAAAAAAAATTGCTCCAATTCCACCAAACAAAACCCTAGTTTCCAAATCTGTACACAATGAATGATTTGCTAATAGAGAGGGAGGCCACTCACCTAGAGCTCAACCAGCACCATTTGACTGCAGATCAACGAATTTTGCTCCAAATCTGGCCAATTTGACTATAGCACAATCTTCCCCCTCGCTGCTGGTCCCCCTGCCACGCCGACCAGCCAAAGTGACTTGCTCTGTTCACCACCTTGTCCCCACC